ATCCACCCTGGGCCTGCCAAACAACAATGACAATTACAACCAAAAAACAGGTGGGCATTGTAATGGGCACCAGTAGTCCCAGCTACTTGGGAGGCTGAGGCAAGAGAATCACTCAAGCCCAGGAGTTGGAGGTTGCTGTGAGCTATGACACCATAGCACTCTACCCAGAGGAACAGCTTGAGGCTGTCTCAAAAAAAAAAAAAAAAAAAAAAAGACCAGCCTGAGCAAAAGTGAGATCCTCCCCCCTAATATCTATTAAAAATAGAAAAACTAGCTAGGCATGTGGCAGGTGCCTGTAGTTCCAGTTACTCAGGAGGATAAGGCAAGAAGATCTCTTGAGCCCAAGAGTTTGAGGTTGCTGTGAGCTGTGATATCACACCACTCTATTCAAGTCGGCAGAGTGAGACTCTGTCTGGGGAGGAGGGGAGGGACAGAAAAATTCTCAAGAGAATTGGGAGCAAAGTTGAAGGTCCGAAAACAAAGATGCATAGTTACCACCTGGTGGCAGCATATCTAAACTAAAGACGAGTGTGAGAGGGGTGCATGTGTACACACACAGGTTCAGAGGAAGGAGAGGCTGGAGCAGAATCGTAAAATCTCAGGGTCTAGAAATACAAGAATGGTATTCATTCAACAATGGAAGATGCCTCTACAACCTTCCAACTTCATGGTTGTTCTGGATTCTCTTTGGAAGGCGACCTCATTGCCATCCTTTCCCCAAACTCAAGTCAGACAGGTTTGTCCCAACAATGACTAGGTCAGCCCCAAATCAGGGGTAGGGAACTGGCCAAAAGCCTGGCACTCTATGATGTTTGTCCTGTGAGCAAGTGAGGGATGATCACAGCCTAATTTCCTTCACATGTTTATTTTCAGCACCTAGTGTTACCATGTGCTGTATGTATACCTGTCTACCCCAGGACTGGCTTAAATGCAGACCCTAGAAGGGAGAGCCCCAGATTCCAGTGGTACAGCAGACAGATTTGAAAACCCAGATTCCTGATCTAGTTCTCCCTTGATGGGGCTTAAGTAAGTTACTACATTTTCTATAAAATGGAAATAATTCTATCCACCAAACCCAAGGATGATCGGATGAGATAACAGATGAAAGGCAGTCTGTTGATTTTAAAGGACTGCCAAATGTTTCGAATTATTACTGTGCTGGGCAGTACTGCAAATACGCATCTCTGATTATCAGTTTGTCCTCTGTCCAACTTCTTTATGAACTAAGATGCCTTCTCACCTAGAGAGACACTATTAGTAAAATGTTCCTCTCCAGATCCAAATTGCTGCTGCTTCTGAGCCAGAGGTAAGGGATCATTCTCAAACCAACAGATCAGTCCTAAACCCGACAGCCACAGAGGCAGAAACACACACCAAACCACGTCTAGAGTTAGAAATTTCAGAGTTTATATGATCTGACAAATGAAAAATTTGATCTGACAAATGAAAAATCCAAAAAGCAGCCAAATTCTACCGCGTGACTCCCTCCTGATATCCTTCTTCCAGCTCCCTGGCAAGCGCGGACTGGGCTAGCTCCACAGCACGCTGCTGTTCTGAGAAGCACTAGTGAGCCTCACTGTTCCCAGGCAGACCAGGCAGTAACAGAACAGCCCTTAGCTCTGCCTGCAGGTTTCCAATACTGTGGTGGGGTTGATTTCATGTGCTGGTGCACCCAGGGCATAACAGGTGTTGAGGCTCTGTGTCAACATTAAACTGCCAGTAAGAGTCTTTAATAGTCAAGCAACTCCAAAACAAAGACACGGGACAGAAACTTTGAGGGTTCTCAAGCAGGCATCAGTGGTCCTCCACGTTTCTTTTGTGAATGAGTCCCTGTTCCACAATGGAAAGGCCTGACTCTCACACCTGTCCCTGTATCTCCAACACCCAGGAGAGGCAAGTAGCTGAAACACAGTAGACGCTTCAGCATTGGCTTTAGGGCATACGGATGGATGGATGGTGTGCAAGGGCAGGGGTCTCCAGAGGCTTTCTTGTTATTGGATGTCTTGAGTCACAAAAAGGGGAAGCATAGCTACAGAGGCCAGATGGTTTTTCTAAGAGAAACCAGGATTAACATTTGTGGTGTGGATGAAAGTTTCCAGCATAGGGTAAAGAATGCAGTCCTAAAGACAGAGAAGCCTGGATTCTAATCAGGATCCTATCATCTATTAACCACGACACTTTGGGAAGTTGTTTAACCTCTCTGTGTGGCAGTTCCCCTTGTACAGTGCAGGTAATAAAAGCATCCTCATAGGATTGCTTTTTTCTTTTGGGGGGGACAGGGTCTTCTTATGTTGCCCTCGGTAGAGTGCCCTGGCAACACAGCTCACAGCAACCACAAACTCTTGGGCTTAAGTGATTCTCTTGCCTCAGCCTCTCAAGTAGCTGGGACTCCAGGCATCCGCCACAACACCTGGATATTTTTTTTTTTTGAGACACAGCCTCAAGCTGTCACCCCAGGTAGAGTGCTATGGCATCATAGCTCACAGCAACCTCTAACTCCTGGGCTCAAGTGATTCTCCTGCCTCTGCCTCCCAAGTAGCTGGGACTATAGGCACTCGCCACAACGCCTGGCTATTTTTTGGTTGCAGCCATCATTGTTGTTTGGCTGGCCCGGGCTGGATTCGAACCTGCCAGCACAGGTGTATGTGGCTGGCACCTTAGCCACTTGAGCCACAGGTGCTGAGCTGCGGCTATCTTTTGGTTGTAGTTGTCGTTGTTGTTTGGCAGGCCTGGGCTGGGTTTGAACCCACCAGCTCCGGTATATGTGGCTGGCTCCCTAGCCGCTGAGCTACAGGCGCCAAACCCGTAGGATTGCTTTAGGAACTGAATGAGATAAAGGATATGGGTGGTAGGGATTATACATTCTCTCCTTGCATCCATGCTGAGATAGGTCCCTTCTAGGACCTATCTGGTCTGTGCAATTAGGTACTAGAAGGGAGCTTTTACCATTCTTTTGCTCAGCCAATCCCCAGTCTGACTGGCAAACACCTGACAACTATATCTTGCAGGTGCTGGGGTCAGTGTCAAAGGCCTGCTGGCATCAGGGATGGCCTCTAAACCCCTGACCAACCTGATTCCCCTTGGTGTCTGCTTTAACATGAATTCATGGATAGGGACGTCAGGCCTATCTCCTGTGAACCCGAGTCCCCACCATCTTCTTTTCAGGCTAACGGTTGGCAGCACTCCATCTAGCCCATTTCAGAAAGCCCTCCATCCATAAAGCTGATGTGTTGGTAGATAATTGTCTTCTCTTTCTCGAATCTACTAATTACATCCAGAGGGAAGGAGTGCTAGGTCTTGGGCAGTGTCGCTGGTGCTCAGCATTTGAAAGCACATGACAGTAACACAAGAACAGCCTCTCAGAGGGCCTGCTGCGTGGTTCTCCTGCTCCAACACAAGCATGTGCATTGACAACCAGCATTACTTACATGGGTTCTCAAGGGTAGTAGCACTGCCCTCTAGGGGGTGTTCTGAAGATCTACAAGGGAAGAACACTAGTAGGAGGAAGGATAACGCTAGACAGCCTACTATGTGTGGGACAGCCCTGCACAATGAAGAAGGGTTTCATATTCCTCGTGACTCCCAAATATTCCACTAGACATACAGATAGCTATGCTTAGGATATGGCTTTATATATACGTGTATTTTTGTACATATCTGCATGTAGGTATTATACATGTATGTGGGCACTTTCTAATTTAATGTCAACAGATACAAGGAAAAAGATAGACAAATATACCTACAGGACTATTACTATGTCATGTTGGTGGGCAATCACACAGATTTTCATCAATTCAATTATACATTCCTAATTTGTTTCAAGTTTTCGTAAAAACGTATTCCTTCTATAATTGGAAAAACAAGATAACCAAAAATGTGCAAACTTTATTAAATAATTTTCAAGAAAAACAATGTCCTGGAGTATTATGCACTACATATTAATTCAATAAAATCAGGTTATCCTTTCCCAAAAGAACCTGCTTATTAATTTTCTGAGCTTGGAACCCAAATTGTTTCATATATAAGCATACCTTATCTTTGCATACAATAAATTTTCAAGGAATTCAATTACTATAAAAATGGAGGATATTGTGAAGAGGTATTACCTTTTAGAAAAATTCAGGCACTGATGCCAACATTTGAGTCCCCAAGACAGCACATACATGCAATCACCTAAAATTTGAGGCCACAATATCGTGGCCAGGTGTAGGTCATATGATTCCAAGTATAGGTGTCTAGACATGACTAATTTATCATGTCTTCTGGTTCAGGCATACCTGAGCACATCCTCTCCTTTTATTTCTCTTTTGTATTTCAATTAGGGCAGTACCACTGATGTCTGAGGATTGTATATGGAAGCAGTTACATAAATCCCGTGTCAGGGTAGAAAAAAGTGTATTACAAAAAGTTTGTTATAAAAAGGTCCCATCGGCTCGGCGCCTATAGCTCACCGGGCTAAGGCGCCAGCCACGTACACCTAAGGTGGTGGGTTCGAATCCCCAGCCCGGACCCGCCAAACAACAATGACAGCTGCAACCAAAAAATAGCCGGGCGTTGTGGCGGGCGCCTGTGGTCCCAGCTACTTGGGAGGCGGAGGCAAGAGACTCGCTTGAGCCCAGGAGTTGGAGGTTGCTGTGAGCTGTAATGCCACGGCACTCTACCCAGGGGGACAGCTTGAGGCTCTGTCTCAAAAAAAAAATAATAAAAAAAAAATAAAAAGGTCCCATCGAGACTGGCAGGGCTGAGAGCCATGGATTTAGCTTCTCAGAACACAAGGTAATACCTTCAACAATTGTAACTCCCAGATCCTCGCCTAAATGCTCCCCACAGTCACAGCAGAGGAAGTTTGGAGCAGGATTCTGCTTATGATAGCACATGACTACAGATCTGACTTTGTATAAAACAGGATCTTCATGTCTCTGTGGTGGGGTGGGGATAAGCAGGGACTTCTCCTTCAAAGACCAGAATGAGAAAAGCAGGAAGAGCTGTGGCACACTTACAGAGGTCTTCAGTGGCAGCTGGGGCAAAGGCAGCCATGGACTCGTACAGATCCTCATCGCAGCCAGGGTTGAGGGAGCACTTCATGAGCAGGTCTGTGGAAAGGTGCGCCATGGACTCATACACGGCGTCAGCCTCCTCCCCTTGCATCAGTTCCTCTTTAATGTGACTCTTGAGCATGTCCACAGTTTCCTGGAAGAGGAGACAAAACCCACTGGCTCACCAAGACAGCCTAGCTTTGGCTTTCTAGGTGGAGTTTAGCCTCCCAAGTGGGCGAAGTGAAGGTTCCCATGATTCAGAATTGAAATTGTTTGAGTATATCTGGATTTGCCCTCCTGACTGAATGCTCCTGGAGGCTAGGTTTCCTACCTTTGTTTCTTTGTTTTGTTTTGGTTTTAGTCTTCGTATCTTCCCCCAACACTAAGCACGAGTGATGCACCAAGAGATACTCATTAAATGTCCAATGGCCAGAGAATACAAATTAAAACTCACTTTCCCATGAGCAACTATGACGAGTCAGGTACAATGCTAAGTAAGCCTATACATTATTGTGTCATCCTTTCCACGACTGCCTGAGGCCAATATAATAATCTCTAGTTTACAGATGACAGAAATAAAGCTCAGACAAATCTGGTGCCTTACTCAAAGTTTCCTATTCTTGACTTTTAATCTTTCTACCACACCCTAGTGGGTCCCCAAAAGGGAACAATGACACAAGAGGGTGTAACCCTTACTGACCAGCCACACAGAAGTTCCAATGGGCTCAAGAAGGTTGCGGCTAAGGTGTCTCTGCACTGTGTGTAATCAGAGGTCCCTCAGTGACTTGATAAACTAGTCCCCATTCCTTCTGTAGCCTTCTTCAAGGTGCCTGAGTTTCCAGGGGCTCCTCCCTCAGTTTTATGTCTTACATGTCCAAGAGTAGGGATGGCCTTGGACGAAGTGCCTGATGTCAGAAAGGTGTCCCCTCGGGCATCCTACCCTCAGGTGGTTGTGAAGCCAGAGAGCTGACTTCTCTAAAACCTCTGCACAACCTTTCCTGGTAAGAAACTTTAGTGTTTCACAATCCTTATTTCAGCATTAACCCACAAAACTCCTTGTTTTCATCATTACCACCCCAAGAGAGTTAATCTTTTATTGGCAGTCTGTTAGTTTCCTGGTGGGACCCAAGTAGACCAGGTGACAGCTGCAAAGTATTGGAGACCCAAAGTCTAGCCTTTGACCTTGATGTGATGGAGAAACGAAATGGACAGTTCTCAGAGGCCATAAGAAACACGTAGGGACCATCCATCTGTTGGCAGAGATGAAGATGCATTGACTGAAAGTGACTATAGTCAGAGAGCAAAAATAACATGAACCACAGTAACTTCAGGGCAAACTGAAAGTGCATCTTTAAACATTCATGTTAGTACATCAGCATAACAAACCCTGGCTTTCAGACTAGGATCAAATCCTGTCTCTGTCCTTTCCAGTTTGTGTCCCAACACATAATGGCTTTGGCTATCTAAACCCTTTTCCTCATTTGTAAAATGGGAATCACAATAGTGCCAACTTCAAATGAGTATGGTAAGGACTGAAATAATGCATTTTCAAGTCAGATAATTCAATAAATACTCCTTACTACTATGAACACAGTATGTCCTTAATAAAGGCTACTGGCATGGAAATGAAATGCTACATTGTGTACATCTGTGACTTCTAAAGGAAAGCTGAGTAAATACTTCAAGACTTCAAGCACCTTCTAGCCTCCTTTATGCCAGTGATGCCCAGGATAAGGACTATTTATTCTGTTCAAAACACTTATACACCTCAAAACATTGAGAAGTCTTCTCTTGTGCCTCTGTGAGTGACTGCCTTGTAGACTCCCCAATATGGAGCAGAAAGTTAAGTTTTGGGTGTGGTATTAGGCTCACTCCTGTCTGGAGGTCAAGAACAAGACTGTCTTGTGTCTATTGCTCCTTTGGAGGTCACAGCTCCACCTGAGAGGCCGAGCTGTTGTCAGGTGCCCTTTGGACGTCTGTGAAGGAAGAAAACCAGATAGGGGTGGAGTCAGGAAGAGCAGCTGCCTCCCAGAAAACCAGGGCAATACCAGGGCATGGAATAAGAAGTAGACATGAGGTGACAGCAGACTCAGAAAAAGACCCAGAAGTCAGTGGTTAAAAAGCAGCTAGGGGCCCAAGGCCAGATGAGCAGACAAACTGGGTATATCTATCTGCCTCTCTCAAGGTCAGAGCCAAACAGTGGGTCAGGAAAAGAGATGGGCAGGAAGAGGTAGGCCTCATTATTGGCCTTCCCAGTGCTGCCTCAAGTGCAAAGCTCTCCTGCAGTCCCCCTGGGCCTCAGGTAGGCAAGGAACATCCCATCAACGTGCCAGAGAGGGGGATGGGGAGGTGGAAGAGGCATCGGCACCAGCCTTCAGCAGATTCAGTGTATAAATGTCTCCGTAAATTCCTTGAGGGTGGGCTCTGGGGCTTTACATGCTTTATTTCCTTTTATTCTCAAAACAGCTCTATGAGTAAAACTATTATTATCTTCCTCCTGCATATTAGGAAACAGAGAGAGGATATGTGACTTGCCCAAAGTCACATGGCTAACGAGTGTTGGTACAGGAACTTGAAGCCCCCATGTGACTCCGGTGCTCATCTATTAAACCCACCCAGACCACACACTGCCACAAGAGGTACAGGAGGATGCGCTAGAGAGGAATCGTGTGTGCGTCTCTGTGGAAGGCAGAGAAGCGGGCAGTGCATCCTGACCCTAGGGGCCTCCCGCCTCAACCTTACCACATACTCATCGATGAACTGCCGCAGGTCCCTGAAGCCATGCTTCTCGGCGATGGTGTTGGGGTAGTGGCCGTGCTTGTTGGCCACACTGTATGCCTGGAGCGCTCCTGGGCAGGTGAGTAACAAGGCAGTGAGGTTCTTTAGTCCGTACTTCGCGGCAAAATGCAACAAGGTGGGCAGCTCCTCATCCCTCTGATCTGAAAATTGTCCAGGAAAACTTAACTGACATATAAAAACAAAGCAGAGGACACACTTGTCCACAGAAACAAAGCTGCCAAGCCTAGTGTGGCATCCAGCAAGCACTCAGGCATTGCTTATTAGTTGACTGACCTAACATCTGACAGCTTCCTTTCTGGCACCACTGAAGATCATGTCCTTGAGAAAGCGATGTCTTAATTAATTAGCAAATCTAATCATTAAAATCCTACCTTCTTTCTCCAAAAGGATTGGAAAATCCTGAGGAAAATAAGTAATTCAAAATGTGCTGGTGTTTTAAAGGCTCAGCCAACAAGCACAAAGCACAACAGGAATCATGTTTTAAGCTTCTCTGCAGAGTTCAGAGCACTTTAAAACAATTGTTTTGTGCTGATGGAAAAAAACCCCAGAAGTATATCCTCTTAGCTCTTAGGCTCAATTATATATTAAGCATACAAACAATCTTGGGTATATTACTTAGCCTTTCTGCAGCCTTTGGTTTTGAAATTATTTCCAGACTATCTCAAAAAGACCTGGGAGGACTAATAAGCTAGTATTCCATGAGGTCCTCATTTAGGAGAGATTTCGGATGTTGGTATTAATGGACATGAGCCCCAGGACATCAGTTAATTGTCTAACTGGTGGGAAGCAAAGTACTCCTAAGAGCCATAGGACTCCCACGGCCCTGCCACCTGCTGATACCTGAATATAGCAAGTTAAACTCAAAAATGTACATGTTTGTGTTGTAGAGTTGGGGAACAAGTCTCTTTTGATCATAAAAGTTGATTTTGAAGACCAATAGTTATATATCTATAATATTTATATATAAATTTATACATATTTATATATAATTTAATGTTTATATATAATTTTACATATAATTTAATGTTTATATATACATGAGTTATTACAAAAGTTTTGAGATATACAGAAATCAAGAAACATAAAATCTGCACAGACAGAAACAATGAAGCCCTCCCAGCAACACTGACGAGCTTAAGCAAGTTAAAACTTCCACAGGTGAACCAGAAAGGACACTGTCGACTGTGTTTCTTGGAAGTGAAATAATGAACCATAACACAGTCTGTCTCAAAACTTTCACGGTGCCCCACGTGTATTTACATATATATTTGTTTTGTTTTGTTTGTTTAATGATAAACCCAGCTTCCTATTTACTAGGATATGACCACCAGGGGCAAAAGTTCTGGAAGGATTTCAGATGCCAGGTTATGAAATACTCTCTCCTGAGCCCCGATTTTAAGAAGAGAGAGTGGTAACATCGACTACAAGTGATATAATAACATGCCATGGTAGGAAAATGGGGAGAGGCAACAAGAAAGAGAAGTCTTCTTCTGGGAGAAGTCCTAGAAGGTGATGTCCCCTCATCCTTATGGTCCTTGTAGACTATGGAAGGACGGAACACAGACAGAAGGAAAGCAGAGACCTGAGTCCCATTTGTGCAGAGCAACCACCATGTGATGGAAGGGTGATGTCCACAGAAACACTACAACAGCTGAACAGGTTCTCTTGCCCTGCAGCTATCATGACTACGTGCTCTCCCCAGGCAGGATTCTACACCACAGGAAGGGGTTGTGACAGGGATAGAAAGCTTTAAAAATACACCAAACCACAAAGAGTCAATTCACAAAAGAGGAAACATAAGTCGATAACATGGAAAAATATTCAACCTCACTAATAATCAAAGAGATGGAAATTAAAACAGGATTGCTTTTTAAAACATCTAATTAGCAAAAATATTTAAAACAATATCCAGAGCATCAGGCATCATCCCTGTGCTCCCAACATGTCACATATGTGCAAGAGGCTGCTCTGCCCTCATGGAACAATCACTTTCTCTGATTATTAGTTTAGGGCCTACCATCAGCCACCACCCAGGAAGGGTTCCTGCCCTCATTGAGCTGACCGCCTAGCAAAGAAGACAGACACAGCTGAGGAGCCCTAGGACAGAGGTGCCCAACTGCTAAGGAAGCCCACAGCTGGTGGAGGCTTGGAGAAGGCCCTCTAGAACACTGGTTCTCAATCTTCCTAATGCCACGACCCTTTAATGCCACCCTTATGTTGTGGTGACCCCCAACCAAAAAATTATTTTCATTGCTATTTCATAACTATAATTTTGCTACTGTTATGAATCATAGTATAAATATCTGGTATGTAGGATGGTGTCTTAGGCGACCCCTGTGAAAGGGTCATTCAACCCCTAAAGGGGTTGTGACCCACAGGTTGAGAACCACTGTTCTAGAGGAAGCACCATCCAAGCTGCTGTAGGGAGGTGAAGAGAAGTTAGCCATGCGAATAGCAATCCATGCAGGGAAGAAACTGTCTTCCCATGTATCAGATGGCAAGAGAAAGAAGTTCATACCTTCTTCACAGCACAGGATAAAAGGGGGTGAGGAGAGAAAAGAGGGCAGAAATGCAGCAGGGGCCCCTGGGAAGGGCCTGGTAACAGGCTACAAGGCTCAGACTTTATTTAGAAGGCAGGTGGGAACCACACATGTTTTGAGAAGAAGGTGAAGCATTCAGATTTGCAAATTAGAAGAATCTCAGCTACCCAGTGAAGAATGAGTCCTTCTCAAAGGATAGGCTGTAGAGCAGGGGCCAGAGGAAAGTACACACGGTGCGGACGAGAAGCTAAACCAGCAGGAGTCAGCCACTGTTGGTTTCCTGAGGTTCGACCATTGACTTACTTGTCATCATATCTTCTTCTTCCAGCTGGTTGATTCCAAAGAGATGCAGCCCACTGGCAGGGATGTTGTTCTTTAGGGACTCGGTGAGCAGTTTGTCAAGTGTCTCTGTGTTGTAGGGCACGATTTTAAAGGCCTGAATACAAAGATGAAGATGGTCAGATTTTAAATCCAGCTATCTCCTATCCAGCACATCTGAGACTGATAAACTATTATTAGAAATTACGTGCCCAGAAAGCTCAGTGTTCCTTTTCAACAACTTTACCTGACACATGAATTCCACAGGATTCGCAGCATTAGACAATAAGTTCCCAATTTCTTCCATGTCAGTATAATAGCTGATGACCGTTTCACATACCACCAAGTCCCCAGAATATATCCTCAGAGAAACATTCCCTGATGAGAGGTCTGAACAGAAGAAAAGATACTATTAAATAATGCCCAGGAAAAACAAGGCTCTAGGGAGACATGGTTGTGGATATATATGCGCCATCTGAATGGAAATGAAACTACCTGGGAACTGGAAGAGAGACCTTGGCCGTGAGCTGGGGGGAAGGAGAGAGAGAGGAGGTGTCAAAGCTGAGTGCACCAGCACACCGCAGGGCTCTGAGCCAGAGCAATTACCCTCACTGGGTCTGCGATTTAATTTTCAGTTAATTTCCATCTTTTTACTTACTACTATAGGCTAAGAGCCTCAATGAACAGGAAGGAAATTCAAGTTGAAGGCACTTTATACAAAGGCTGAAGGTAAGAGGGATCCTAGGGGGTGAAACTGCGGTTTCTGCCACATTGGGTCAGCTGAATAGATGACTACGTGCTCTCCCCAGGCAGGATTCTACACTACAGGAAGGGGTTTTGACAGGGAAAGAAAGCATTAAAAATACACCAAACCACAAAGACTCAATTCACAAAAGAGGAAATACAAGTAGAGAACGTGGAAAAATATTCAACCTCACTAATAATCAAAGAGATGGAAATTAAAACAATGGATTGCTTTTTAAAACATTTAATTAGCAAAACTATTTAAAACAATGTTGGCTGGTCTTGGTGACAGTAGAACAAACAGGCAGTGGAGCACATTACCATGTGAACGTGGGGCTACTTACTGGGGGCCTTCACGGAAACGGTGTATTCATTCTCCAGCTTGGCTTCTATCCTTAAGGAGGGAGAATCTTTAGGAGAAAATTCTGCTTCTGTGGTCACCTGCTCATCCAGCTTACATCTCACTATAACGTAGACAGTGGTTTCTGCCTGGAATGAGAGGTCAATGTTCCCACTCTCTCCTTGATCCCTTTCAGGTATCAGGGCAGAGGGTGTCCCCAGCTCCCACAGCCCTGGGCCTACAGACTGAGGATCTTCCTGGACAGGGTGGGCCTCCCAAACCAGTGCTAGACAATCAGCTGTTTGCTATCAATCCCAGTGGACAAATTACAAAAACCAAGAGTAAACATTGATAAAACTTGTTAGCAATTTGATAGATTAATTTTATGTCTGTTGAACCTAATAATAAAAATAATAATAACTGGGGCTTATATTTTATATGTCTTTTTATAACATATGTACAGCATTTCTTTTTAAATCTTTTTAGGCTCGGCACCTGTGGCTCAAGTGGCTAAGGCTCCAGCCACATACACCTAAGGTGGCAGGTTCAAATCCAGCCCGGACCCGCCAAACAACAATGATGGCTGCAACCAAAAAACATAGCCAGGCATTGTGGCAGGCGCCTATGGTCCCAGCTACTTGGGAGGCAGAGGCAGGAGACTCGCTTGAGCCCAGGAGTTGGAGGTTGCTGTGAGCTGTAATGCCACAGCACTTTATCCAGGGGGACAGCTTGAGGCTCTGTCTCAAAAAAAAAAAAAAATCTTTTTTAATAAAATCACTGGTCCATTGCAGAATTGGACATTTTTTCTTAGAAGTCCTTTGCCACAGATAGTTTGAGAAGCGCTGTTCCAGACTAAACTTTTTACTCAAAGTGAAGCCCAGGGGCCAGCAGCCCTGGCCTCCCTGGGAAGCATGTTAGAAATGCAGAATCTCAGGCCCCTCCTGGACCCACAGAACCAGAGTCTGCACTGGAACACCAGGAAACTCCTGCGCACCTTGCAGTGAGAGAGGCACTGCCTAGAGCTACTCTCTGAGCTCTGTTCCTCATGCTGCTCCTGGCTGGGAAAAATAACTTCTTGGAGGATTAACTTTTCCAATGCATCAAGCAACCTAAATAGTTTATTTTAACCTTGCTTTAAGATCTCATGCTAAGTCTGCCAAACGGAATCGATCCTGTTGATCGATTAAACTGAGGAATCGTCCTCTCAGACTGAACTGGTAAAAAATAGGCCCTCCAAAAAACAGGGAAAGAAGAGATTTTTGGCCATGGCTAATGCCAAATGTTCATCCTGAGATTCTGCTATGAAGTCCCCAAAGTAGTCCTTCATGACAAAGACCATAGGAGGGGTGCAGCAAGCTTGGATTTTACAACAGGGGAGGGAGGGAGGGAGGCCCTGGCCCCTGGAGGCTGCTGAGGCAGAATAGACCTGTGCTGTGGTTGTTGCTGCTCCTGCTGCAGCCCCAGGCCCATCCCCAGGAGTGAGGAGCCAAAGGGGATGCCCACCTCCTCTGCTGACAGTCAGGACCCACTTGGCCCAATCCTGCCAGATTCTAGAGACCTAGAGTTGACAACAAGGAGATGCTGGCTGAATGGGCAGCCAAAATGGGAGAAGGAATGAAAACCTGGAAAATCATGGAGGCAAGTGAAGGGAGTCAAGCTTTGCTTCTAAACTCCCTTTACCCACAGGCACCCAACAGCATGGGTGATCAGAGGGCATGGGGAAGACAGGCAGGAGCACAAAGAGACTGTTCTGACATGTCCCCAGCAGGTTGGCCAGGAGGGCAAAAGAGTAAAAGTATAAAGAACAGGGAAGTGTGGGGACCAGCAGAGTGCAGGATGTATGTCCCATGGGAAGAGCTGCTCAGCCTCAGCCGGCTACTATGAGCAGACTCAAAGGAAGCTGGAAACACAGATTTGTGTGCCAAACTTCTAAAACACGGTACAGTCCTCCAAACCAAACATGTCTATGAGTCAAAGAAGCAGCTGGAAACTCCCATGTAGGAAGCTCTTGCCCAATGCCTTGTGGCCACAGGCTGCTCAGAAAACCTCTCACAAGGGCTTCCCGTTCCCAAGGCTCGTGCACCCTGTCTTGAGGAGCCCACAGTGGCCAGCTCAGTGAAGAGCCTGTAGCCACAAAGAAAACATCTGCTGCTCTGAACTATCATAAATGCCATCCGTTTTTAACAAAAAAGGAAAAATAATGAAAAACCATCAATACCATGGGAGGATTCAAATGATAGTGGGTCATCAGTTGGGCCATCAAGTTCAAGTCACCTGTTAATATATGCCACACCCCTGTAAAGGGTAGTCAGATGATGCTTAGGCATTTATGTGATCCATTTAGCAAACAATACTAGCCAGTAAGTTTCAGCGGTCAAGCTTCAAGGCACTCCCATGGCTATGCCAATGACAGGCTGACAGAGAACCAGGCTCTCAGAATGTCCCAAGTCTCCCTCCTCCCTGCTCTAGACTAGCAGGAATAGACACAGCCTGTAACCCCAGAGTTGGTCTGCTTAAGTGTCTGGAAGGCTCCTGTCCGCTGGTCTCCCACCCGCATGCTCTGTATTATTGATCCATAAAATGAAAGTCTTAGGTTGACAACACATACATTCCTGGACTTATCTCCCTCTGACCCAAAGGAGCGAGGTGTATACAGGACCCAGGTGAATGGGTGGCCAAGGGAAACCCCAAGGAAAGGCTGCAATTATTCCAAGGTGCAACATCAGAACACTGGCTTTTCAGGTGGATGCATTTGTTGCAGATCCCCTTTACTGCAACCAATTTATCCACCCAAAAAGCCCATGTTCTGACGTTGATCTACCAGGGTACCAGGAGAGCCTACCCCACAGCGAATGCGGTCCGGCTGCACCACCATCAGGTTCCCAGGTGAAGTCCCCGACGGCAGGCTCTGCTGCTTTGAGTAGGGTACACACTTCTCGTCCTCAGGCTCGGTGTCAGTGACTGAGTCACAGCCAGAATCTGTAGAATAGAGGACACTGCTAAATGGAAACAGAAAGAAGGAGAACTCTCCAGCCTATGAGAACCCCAAACATTACCAAATAGGAAATGGCTCTACATGTCAGATGAATATAGGCTGAAAGGGGTGACTCAGGAAATCAAGAAAGAGGATCTAATGGAGAAAAGTCAGACACCACGTAGGCCACAGGGTAGGATGATGGTAAGAGGATAAAGGTGGTAGGGAAAGCCAAAACGTCTATAGTTGCAAATCTAGTCTCAACCAGCAGGCTTCAGGAAGCTTCACCTCCAGAGTTCCCGTAGGGCTGAAGGGGTGTAAGAAAGAGAGGCCCTTTCCCCTCCCACTTAACAGGGCTGGCAATTAAAGGCCATCCTTGTAACACTGAGTAAAACCTGTGCTGTTCAGAAAGCCACTAGACCTCAGTGTCATGGCTATACAATGTGCCCCTCTGGGAGCAGCAGTGAAAAGCAATCATTTTCACAAACCTTAGGTCAGTCTAACCAGGTTCCAGATGAGTACCCCAGCCAACACTGGTCCTGTAGGCAGGAGTGGCCAACCCAGGCCACAGGCAGATTATTTGAGGACTGTTTTCTTATCTCTGGTGTTGGATATCACAAAAAGTATGCATGGATCTTTTTCTGTTTTTTTGCTCATAAGCTTTCACTGGTGTTTGTGTATTTAACGTGTGGCCCAAGACAATTCTAATTCTGCCAACACACATCAAAAAAGAAAAAAGGTTGGAAACTCCTTATTAGAACACACCCAAATTCAGAGCTGATGAGCATGTATGTGCATGTGTGGGATGAGATGATGCTGAGACCCGACCAGGGCTCCAAGGTAGGGACTTTTAACCAGGATCTGTTGATTAACAGGTCTGCCTCAGTTGTGCACAAAAGCGTGTGTGTGTGTGTGTGTGTGTGCGCGCGCGCGCGTCAACATGTCTGCATGTATGCCTATGCTTTCTGGGAGATAGTTCAAAGGATTCATTAGATCCTCAAAGAGGGACAGGACCCCAAAATGGTTAAGAATGGTTGAAAGAGAGAGAAGCCTCATCCCGTTCCTTTTTGAAGCTTGCTCTCATTTACTCCTAAACCATTTATAAAACCAGCCATAGATGTTAGGAACTTGAAGGAACCTGAGGATAAATCAGACACCAACCCTTCCTTCATAGAACCATGATCTAAGAGGGGAAGAGAGGTGAGAGGTGAGGGTTAGCCTGGCTGGTTACTGCAGCTGGCCTCTCCAGAGCTGGTGGCAACTATCCTGAGAGAATGCTGGAGTGATATGCTCCTGGAAAGTTGTAACTTCAAACTTGCACTCTAGACCCCAAGTCATGCCAGAAAGAAGCCGTGCTCCCATGACCATGAAGGTGAGGTGGGGGGAAAGTGTAGGGTACCACCACATCCTACTGCCATAACTGTGAAGCAATGACCACTGCTCAGGTCAGGGAAGGGGCTGGGGCGCCCCTAGGGGTGCAGCTTAAAAGCTCCACATCCTCAAGTGGAGGTCCTGTCCCAGAGCCTGAAATCTGGCTCTGCTTAATTTCTGCGGGCCTCCCCAGAATGCAATGGACAGCATGGCATGTCCTCCTGCTGCTCTTCCCCGCTAGGTGATTTTTCCAAGATTCACCATTCCAGAAAAGCCTATTTGCTGTCAGGTTTTTGACCTTATTAATCTAGAATTAAGAGGTGGAACAAATGCCCCTGGGAGTTCCAAGCAGGACCATATGGTTTTTAGCTAGGCATCAGGGCCCTCAGCGTCCCACATCTCTCCTTTCCTTTTTTTTTTTTT